TTTAATTTAGTTTTGTTTTGATTTTGTCCTTTATGAGGATTTTTAAGATTGAATTTGGTCTTGAAACTGCACCTAAATTTTAAGTTGCCTACGTATCCGATAGGAAATTAAGTCAATCGTAGTTCTTAATTTTGAATTTGAATTTTGAAGAATTCCCCGATATATGACCATAGGAGGAAATCAAATATGGTTTAAAATTCGATTTGGAATTTTACTTTAGAGTTTGGATTTGAAAGTTGTATTTGGATAATTTCTCAGTATATGACCTTATGGGGAATTAAAAGGTGTTTTAAAATTTGATTTGAAATTTTACTTTAGAATTTGGATTTGAAAGTTATATTTGGATAATTCCCCGGTATATGACCTTATGAGGAATTAAAATATGTTTTTAAAATTTGATTTGAAATTTCACTTTGGAATTTAGATTTGAAAGTTGTATTTGGATAATTCCCCGGTATATGACCTTATGGGGAATTAAAAGGATCCTTTTTGAATTTGGTGTTGAGATTTTTTTTTATTTGAATTTGGGATTTGAACATTGTATTTAATCACCATATGATTTTATAAGACAATGGGCTCATCTTTTGAACTAAAGGACCATAGAGGGGCCTAATTTGTGCACTTTAAATTTTGAGGTATTTAATATTCTGAATTTATTTTGTAATTATTGTCTTTTCTCTATTTTTTTTAATTTTAAAATTCAAAATTTAAATCCACCGTTTGGATAAGATTTATTATGATTTGATTTGTTTTGATATTCTAATCTCAAAAAGAATTGAAGTCCTTCTCTCGACTTCACTTGGTTGGTGTGTGTGTGTGTGTGTGTGTATATATATATATATATATATATATATATATACATGGACATATAACAGGTTACAGCAAGTATAGCTTGCAATCACATAGCTTCTGCACTGCAAATCCGTGAACTTTTGGTTATATATATAACCGAAAGTTCACTGATGTTTACAGTGCAGAAGCTATGTGACGTTTGCCTTGCTGTTACGTTTGCCTTCTGTAACTTGCTATATAGCAAGTTACAGAAGGCAAACGTCACATAGTTTCTGCGCTGCAAATATCAGTAAACTTTCGATTATATATATATATATACACTTTGTGAAGATATTGAGAAAGACTGAAGGTACGGGTTATTTGCTCTTTTTTTATTTATTTTTTTTTTGTCTTCCTTCTTTAATTGTTTTTTTTTCAAGTATAATGCGAATCACATGAATATTTTTATATAAATCATATGAACATAATTTTTCATATTCAATTTTTAAAGTGTAATTCGTTTATATAAAAGAATTCCACAACAGTTTTTTTTATCACTATCCCACGTTTTGCACACACCACGTTTTACACACATCACGTTCTGCACCATCATCTTTTTTTTCTTTTTTTTTGTAATCACTACTCCACGTTTTGCACACACCACGTTCTGCACTCTCTCTTCACATTTTAAAACGTACATTTTTTTTAATCTCTCTTCTTTCTTCTTTTTTTTATTATTATTTTTTTTTTGTCAACTCAAAGTTTTTATTTTCTCCTTTCATTTTTTAAGACCCATCTGTGATTCAAATTTTTTTTTTACCGCAAACAAATTCTATTTTTTTTTATTATCACAAAAAGGATTCTCGATTAAGGAACGAACGGATTGAGTACTCAATCCTCGATTCTCCTAATGGATGCTCGACGACTCGATTCATCTATATGATGAGCCGCCCGCCTTAAGAGCACTCGATCCGTGCATTCCGGAGTTGGTTGCTATGTCCACAACCTTGTGACTCTAGGAATAACCCAACAGTGTGTAATGGCCTCATTCCCACAAGCAACTAATGTGGATGTGTGTCCACGTCAGGAGTAGTCATCAAGACCTACTTCGCAAAGTGGCCCACGAACTTGGACGCATCTAGCTATTATAAATAGACCAACACCTTCCAAAATAAGGGTTACAATTTATCTTTTTCTAGAAGCACTTTATAACTGAGATTTGGATCTCCAATTTATACTCTCATTTTTACATAGTGAAACCAGGCTCCAACACTAGACGTAGATCTTTAGAGTGAATCATTATAAATCTTTAATCTAATATTTACTTTTCTGCATTTATTTGCATTATTTTTGCATGATACTATTTCTGATTCCAATAGCAATTAACTGACCAGTTTGTCCAGTAGCATGCCAAATATCGGTCAATAACTGCCACCAGCATTATCGGGGATGCCGACTGTTGCCACTACGATACTGATAGGTAATCGCCCTTTGATATTCGGTTATTGTCTGCTATTTTAAGTGTAATATTTGGTATTCTAAAGATGGAGGCATGACATGGCGTGGGATTCTCTACAAATACATTTTGTTTTTCGTGACATAAATCCATTCAAGCTATGATTTTGTGGCGTTCTTGCAAAGAGCCTTTACCCGTGTAATGATCCACTTTTTAAGACATTTTTATCCTTGTTTGACCGCAACAAAGCTGGTGTTTAGAGACATATTTCTAATAATATTGATAAATACTTTTTAAAAATATGCACGGATTAAAATTTTTACCATTTATTTTTAATTCATAACATTTTTAATTAAATAATTACACTAATAAAAAGATATTTATTAAAAATAAGAAGTATTAATCAAATAATTACATTAATAAAAAAATATTTATTAAAAATAAGAAATAAAACCCAAACTCATATACTCTCAAAATAAATTATCTATTTTTTCATTTCCGTAATTTCCCTGCCCTGTGAATGAGGATTTGATTTATCCTATCCGTATTGCCAACTGCCCATTGCCTAGGCTCACGTGGCAATTACGGCCCCAATCGTTAATTGGTCACTTCGGCCCAACTAGTATGGCGTTGGGCCATCATGGGTTTTGGTCGACACCTGCACAACATTTTTCAGGGTAAAAGCATAGAAAAATTATATTTCACCCACTATATTATCCTATTTACTATAACAAAATTATTCTTTAGTAAAATTACAATAAAAGCATAATAGGGATACACTCACAGTTTTTTGTGTGGGAAAATACACCCATATTGAATTTATGTTTTTAGTGAAATTTCATCGTTTTCCTTAAAAAGAAGTATCATAATTCCCACGTTTAAAAATATGTAAGGAAAATATTATTACTCAAATAAAAATACACCCAACTACCTAAATTCTTAATTCTTATGAACCCTAAACATATTTCTATAAAATTTTCTCTCAAGAAATAGTTGAAACACCAATTGAGATCTAGAAAAAAAGATGTCTCTCAGAAAATAAATGAATGCTAAAGCAAGTCTTTTTTTTTTCTTTATGAAGTTTTTTCGTTTCTCTAATCACTTCATGTTTTCCATCCGATCTTACAAGCAAATTAAATGAAATTGAAGCTATAATTTTGATTCAAACGCTTACCGATAATTTCATTTTGGTTTCTTGATTTGTGATGGATTTTAGCATACCGTTATTTTTTGTGCCTCAATTTTATAAGGCTGTGTAGATGGAAAAAGTTGAGATCATCTATGGGTTATACGTGACATTTTGTTTCTTTTTTCTTCTTTTTTTAAGTTAGTTTTCATTTAGTTTTATTTGTTTTATAAAGTTTTGTTTAAAATAAGAATAATTTTTTGGAAGGTTAAATTAGAATAATTTGATTCTTAAAAGAGGTATATATATAGAATAAATCAAAATAAAAAAAATAGTTGGTTATGATAAGGTTAAATTTCGTATTATATACAAAATATTTATAAAAGATAGATTTTTTAAATATTTATTAAGAAAATATTAGTTAGTGGGGTATCTATAACTTTGATGGATGCATATATAACTATTAAATCATAAAATAAAAAAAGTATAATACCCAAAACACCCCTGCATTTTATTAAATTACCACTTTCGTCCTTGTTATTGTTTAAATACCCAAAACATCCCCTGTATTTATAAAGATAGACTCAAAATACCTCCTGAAGCAAGATAACCCTTCCCAATCTTTATTAGATCTTATTTAAAACATTATTAACCCAAAATGTTAAACAAAATCAATTTTAAAAAAATGAAAAACTCTGAAATATTTCTTTAATTGATATATTTATTTAAACATTTTTGTAATTTTAGTTAAATAATGTCTAAAATTTAATATAAATTTGGAAGCATAATCATGGCATTTTCAAAATTTTAGGGCATATTTGGAAGGTATAGTCAAACCATAATTCTTGATTTTGAGGTTTGAAATTCAAATTTTTTTTTAGAGAAAAACGTTGTAGTAGAATCAATAATTTGAGTTTAAGTATATGAAAGAAATGGGCACTTAATTACTTTAGGGGTGTTTCGGGTATGTTGTTATAAATACATGGGGTGTTTTGGATAAGGTAATATTGACAAATACTCATTAAAAGTACATGAGTCAGAATTTTTACGCTTCACTCTTGATTCATAATCTTTTTAGTCAAAAAATTACACTAATAAAAAGGGTATATATCAAGAGTAAAGGGTAAAAGTCCAGACTCTTATACCCTTGAGGATAAATTTTCATTTTTTCTAAGAGTGACGAAAATGGTATTTTAATAAAGTAATTTAGTATTTTTCCTTAGAAAATGATAAAAATCTATTATTCATTCAATAAAGTATAAATTAAATAGAAAATTAAATCCCTCATCTTTTACAAATTTCTTTTAATGCCATCAATTGCTCATTGTAATGGTTATTGACAATGTTACTCGTGAAATTTTAATGATGACCTTTTGTTTCTCCTCAGATTTGGTCATGATACTTATTGTAGATAATTACATTCTCGCCTCCTAATAATAAACAATTTCTTATAAATAATTACAGTAATTGTAACATATTTTAATTTACAATGAATTTATTTCTTTATTTAAAGTAAGTTTGCAACAAGTTTATACAATAGTGATGAGTATAGTTTGCTTATAATATAACTAGTTCTAAAAAATTTAAAGTTATCACGGATACATAATTATTTTTAGGATAAATTACACTTGTGGCATGTGACTCTCATTGCAAAGGTAAATAAATAATTTAGGTCAAATCCTGAAATGTTCAAAATAAGGTCAATTAGGGCAAAAAAATTCCAGAGTAATTTCACACAATAACAAAATTCCATACTATTATGAAATGACGATTCCGACGCTCCATCTCCACATCCGGCCTCAACCCAGCGACGATCTCCATCTCTCGTGGCTGCCGTTCATACTCCAGACCAAACCCAGCCCTAATATGTCCTTCGCGACGTGGGCCCTCACGGATCTGAGCATTTTGATCGAAAATCGCCCACTTCATCGCGTCTAGGATAGCCGCCACACCTCTAATCGTCGCAATTTTCAGCCACCGGCCTGGGTCCAGCTCCGATCGGCTCTTCCTGACGAAGACCCACTCGATTCTGAGAGACCCATTACTGGGTGACCCACTCAAAATTACAAGATTTTAAAATTGTTCTTCTCGTGCAGATCTGAGAGACCCATTCCTTTCCTCTTCGAAGAGCAAATAACAAGTTGCCCATCTAAAAGGTGCTTGCAATAGATCTACATATTTACATAAAACTTTCGGCCGGCTCCCCTTTTGATCTAACTGTTTTGTGCAATTCATGAATCACAATCACATGAAAATGACAAAGTTAATTATGAGGCAACACAATTCTTACCCATCCAGTCATCGAAGAAATGCTTTCCGTGATGCAGGGTGGGTGATGGACCGATTGTGGGATCTTCAGCATATGCCGATGATGAAGTTGGTGCCTGTGGAACGACCGTGGATGTTGACATTATAAATTGAGAAAATAGCATATTGAGTTTCAAGGGTAAAATCGTCATTCATTATAAAATAAAAATTTAATGTCTCACTGACTTATAAGTCTCGTTTAACGTTTAAAATTTAACAAAAAAAACGGATAAAACGGATAAAGGAGACGCGTAGTAACGATAAATTATTTAGGAGGAAAAATTGTTATTTCTAAACTTTAGGGGAAATTTTTACAAAACGTCAATAATTTAGGGGGCACAAGTATAATTTATCCTTATTTTTATGGTTATGAGTCAAATTTACAAAAGAAATATTTAAGGACCAATGTGTTAAAATTATTTAGGGACCAAATTACACTATTCTTATAGTTCAGGACTATCTGTGGTAATAACCTAATGTAATAATATGTGGCTCGCTCATTGACTACATTTGTCGACTCTGAGATTCTAGGGCTTGGGAGGGTTTTCGCATTCGCACACTTCTTCTTCATATTTTCTTCTTCGATCCATCTCTCCAAACAAAAGCTTTCCATGGCTCCGCCTCCTGGACCGTACTCTGGAACCAGCACTCTCGCCTTGGTAAAACCCCTTTTCTCTCTCTCTCCGTTTGAGTAAAATCTAAGAAATGGAAAATACAAATTAAAGCTTCGACTTTTCCTTTTCTTTATCTCGTCTTCTTATTATTCGTTTTCGGATCTTTAATTTTGAATTTTTTTCATTTTTTTTCCAATTAATGAGGATTCCTGAAAAATTCCTCATCTGATAAAATATGTTTATATATTTTTTTTGAAAGGTTGCTCGTGTTTCTGCTTTCTCTCTCGGGCTTGTTTATGGAAACCTCAAGCTCAAGTACCTACAGGTACTTCAATTTTTACTTCTCTCTGCTCACATTATTATTATTATTAAATCTACTTGTGATTGGGTATTTGGAATTTTTCATAGAATCTGGTTCTAATGGAAAATGCATTTTTATATCTGCGTTGCTTTTGAATTTGATTGGGTTTAATTTGTGGTTTATTTGTTTTAGACTAAGATTAGTGATCTTGTATTACAATGATCCACGTTAACGTCATTTTTTAACTGATTAGCATTTTAGAGTATACAATTAGTTAGAATGTGTATTTATCTGCACCACCAGCTATTAAAATGCAAAGCCATTGGATGACATATATATGCGTATACATGTATATATGTGCGCGTGCGTTCTTATCTGCGTGCTACATGCAAAAATTGGTGGGGGACAAATCACAAATGTAATAATGAAATTGCTTAGATGAATTAGGTGAATCCTCTACGTGATTGTGTGATATGTATACTTGCGTGGTATATCCGCTAATATGCGTATCCTACAAATAAATAGCAATTTCATTTCAAAAACTATATTGAGAGGACGGGGAGAAAGAATAAGATATTTGGAGAATATAGGTCACATTGAACTTCTAAAAGTTTGACATCACTCAAGGGGATGCTTGTTTGAAAGCCTAATTGTTGGCTTCATGAACTAAAGAAACAGTTTCATCGTACATCTAAGACTGAGAATGTTATTCATTCTATATTTTTTCTGCCTTTGATTGTAAGAGGTGAAATCCTATACTGATATCTGCAGATCTACTGGCATTTTCATATCAAGTATGAAAGAGTTTTGTCTGTAATCCCATTATGATCCACTTTATGTTTGATTTGAGGCACACATTGTTTGGTTCTTTGAACTGTTCGTGCTCAGAGTAAAAGGTCAAGTTGAAGATAGGTTGTCCATAGCTGTATGGTCAAGTTACTTCATTTTAAATATAGATAATATGCATGCGTTATGCTATATCTACTCCTGTTAAGGTTCGAAAACATATTCTAGGTTTACTTGTCAATTTCAATGGGTTTTGGGGCATGAAAAGTACGTACAAACTGAACTGATATGGTCAAATTTTTGAATAGATTGAGGATTAATCATAAGTTGGGTGGTCAGATGTAATTTGTTCTGTTCATGTAGATCTGACATCAAGAGGTTCAATGCAATCTCTTAAACATAGGCTATTCTATAGTTGCTTATTTTTATTTTGTACAAGTTTTAAGTGCCGACCAAGTGTGCTTCAGGTTTCTTACAAAAGGTCAAGTTTAGTTGATACATTAATTTATCAGGTATTAAGTTATGGCTGTTTGATTGTCTCTTGGACCACTTAAACTATTTGCAATATCTATTGTCTGATGTGTAGTTGTAAACAGATAGGTACAGACATTTGCCACTTATAAGAACATTTATGGATGCTTACGTTTCTTTTCCTTTTTCCAACCGCAGGCAAAGGCTAAATCTCATAAGAAAGCTGAAGCAAAGGCGCATCACTAAAGATGGGGATTGATACATTGCATTATGTTGGACATGCGAATAACGCATAATAAAAGAACGGCAGATGTTTCGTCTTTGCTTTAAGATTTTGTTGATTGTGAAGAATTTTCTTCCTAGTTCTGAGGTTTTTCCAAGAATTGTTAACTCAATACTTCGAGATTTGTTTGCCTAGTTTGCCTTTTCTAATAATCAAATAGGCACTTTGGTCTTGTTTTTTCCTCTTTTCACTTATTCTATCCCATTCTTTGGGATTACTAGCGGTTTTGATTTGATACCTGCGCAGTGTGCTCTTGATCCAATGGGTTGCCATTTTTAGTTCTTTCTTTATGCGTGATCAGAGTGGCTTTAGGTATCGGTTCCTAAAAGCTGTAAATCTATGTCTAGTAGGTGAAACGCAACAGGGTACAATCGGAATGAGCAAAGCTTTGCTGAGAATAGACTCAAGTTTATTGTTAGGATTTGTGCAAGTTGATTAACATTAGACATTCAACTATATTAAAAATATCAATAAAGATGGAGATAAAGTGTTGTACCCTCTCGAACATTGATCTCTCTTTTGTTAATCTTAGAGTTTGGTCCACTCCAAAAAGAAGTTTAAACATGTTTGAAGCTTAATCTTCTTCTTGTCCAAACAGAACAATTTGTTCTCTTCATGTTCCACGAGAAAGCATCGCGTAAGTTCCAAAGCGTAACAATTTGAAGGGAATTATGTTGACTTGTGGAAACATGATTGATGGCGCATTTATCTGGTTTTTTTTTCCCCCTAATTGTTGTTCTGCAAACTAAATTGAATTTTGACGACCTCGGGAAAAAAAAAAAAAATGCAGGCTTTTTAATATGATTTTACTTGCTAGACTTATTGCATCATTGCCTGTGATTCTTAAACCTTGACCATGACGTTAAGGTAGTCCCTCTACTTTGGTGACGGTCGTCGTGAAGGTGGCTCCTCATTTTCTCCTCTCTCTCTCTCTCTCTCTCTCTCTCTCTCTCTCTCTCTCTCTCTATGGATCTAATTATCTCTCTCTCTCTCTCTGGATCTAATTATCTCTCTCTCTCTCTGTTCTTTTTTCTTTTTTTATCGATATATCCTCTCTTCGTCCATCATTGAGATATCCGTGCAACACAGGTTTTTGCACCCCTATTATTGGCTGGAAATACGAGTTATCTTAGTCTATTAGCTCCTGAATGGCTGGATCTAATTATTTTCGGTTTTATTTCCACATAAAGCAGCCAAAACATGGTACTTGGAAAAGAACATGGTGTTGTTGATAAATATCAGTAGTAATCATAAACAACGACCTACAATGCTAATTGTTCAAAGCGCCATGTCACTTTGCTCATACATGCAATATGCAGCTACGTGGGATGCTAACGTACGTAGCCAATCACGCATACATACAATGCTGAGTTGTTTCAAGTAAATCCTAATATTCAAATCTGTATGTTCTGCTCTCAGCGACTATAACCTCAAGATCAATCTCAAGTGTTTTTTCTTCGATCCCTTTCAACAGCTTGAACAGATAAGGAGGAGAAGAAAGAGAAACTAGGAACCTTTCTTTTATTCTGAATGATTTCCGGACCTTCCTCTGCTGGAAGCTTGGATTGATGCGCTCAAGAAATTTCCCAACACACCTTGCTAGAGAACCACCGGCTCGCCCCATCATCATCGGTAGACACGGATTTGTTGAACCCATTAGTAGCCATCTTGTGAGTTGTGATTAATCTTGATGATTAGACGTGATTCCTGATGAGGAAATTTTTAAATATTTTAAACTCTTGACGTGCATCAATTGTAATGGAACAAATGAATCCCTCTGATCGACCACTTCCCTTATAAATAGGAACACTTGATTACGCACTCATTGAATTTTAACAAGAAAACACAGCCCCAAGATCACTTCATATTCTTCAAAATTAGTTTTTCTTGTTTTGACTCTTTATGAATATAGATCCTAAAAGCAACGGAATGAATCAGTTAGTCACATCAGTTATCACTAGCCTGTTTGTACAGACAAAATAATCTCTAAATTATGTCAATAATTACATAAATGAAGCTGGACTATAGCATCATATCGCACATTTTTAAGTGCATTCCTGGAATTCAACATTTGAGATAAATCCAAAGTGTCATCAGCAACAATCTCCTCCTTGGAACGTTGAAAACCATGTAACTTTCCTTGTTAATCATATGCACACTTTCTGGACTATGGACATCAGATTTTATATCCTTTTAACACCTTGAGGATAATCCACAAAGATCCCTTTTGTATGATCTCTTGGTTCCAGCTTTCCCTCGTTGACATGATAGTAAGCAGGACTTGAGACAATTCTTAGATTACTGTAATTTGTAGCTTTTACATTTGAGTTTTCGCGGAGTGTTGAAGTTTATTGTAGCCGAGACACCTGTTAACTAAATAACGGATTAAAATGAAGAAATAAATAAGTTTTAAGAAAAATAGACTAAAATGGTAAAAAAAAGTTTCAGGGCAAAAATTTAAATATGGGTCAAAACATGACCAAAATGAAGAGATAAATAAGTTTTGGGGCTAAAAGATCAAAAACAGAAACAAAAATTTAAAATTCCAGGGAAAACAATAAAAAAAAAAAGGGTCATAAATGGATTAAAATGAAGAAATAACTAAATTTTAGAAGAAAATGGACCAAAAAGAAAAGAAGATAAAGTTTTAGGGCAAAAAGAAAAAAAAAAGGAGTAAAAACAGGACAAAAACGAATAAATAAATAAGTTTGAGGGCAAAAGTAACCAAAATGGAACAAATAAAATTTTAGGACTAAAATAAAAACAAGGTAAAGAAAGGACTAAAATGAAGAAATAAACAAGTATTAAGGCAAAAGAAACTAAAATGAGAAAATTAAAGTTTTAGTGGAAAAATAAAAATAGAAAAATAAAAAAGAATGGTAAAAAAATGATCAAAATGAAGAAATAAAAAAGTTTTAGGAAAAAAATAGACCAAAACGAAAAATAAAATAAAATTTCAAGACAAAAATAAAAAAAAGATAAAAAAACTAAAATGAATGAATAAATAAGTTTTAGGACACCACTGAAAAGAAATATCTAAGTAGGTCAACATCTAAAAAAAAGATAAATGGAAGAAAAGTTAAAAAGAATGCAAACAACGAAAAAATATAAAATTCTATGGAAAAAAGCAAAAGAAAATGAGAAGATGAAAAGAAAAAAAAAAACCATCAAAAGAAAAAAAAATTGAACAGCGAAGATCAATGTTTTCGATCAAAACTGTGCGTTTTGGTTGAAACATTGTTCCTTTGAACAGTATGTATATATAGATATAGACTAGTTTGTTACCCGTACTTTGCTGCGGGTAATATTTTTGTATTATACAAAAGTAAATGTAGTTTACATATATATATACATAAATAAATATAAACAAATAGTAACATGGATTTATTTATATACATATTCTTATACAGTATTTCACATGTTTATACAATATTTTGTAAAAATTTTTAAAGATAATATTTCTTATATGATATAAATATTTATTGGTCGAATTGTGGATCAACATGTGTAATCCATTTAGATTTATGACTCTTAATAAAATAATATATAATTGTTCATAAATAAAAATTTCAGTTTCTAAATATAATCCAACTTTGCTCAATAACTGCCCTTGACTTTTATTTATTGTTATTACATAATAGATTTTTATAAGAAATTATCGTCTTTTTAATATAAATAGCTTTGTTGAAAAACGATATGTTGTATGCGCTGACTTTGGCACGATGATCTTTTTTGAATTTTTTTTTTTCTATTCATTTGCTTCTACAACATAGAAGCATTCGATGAGTTACAAAAAGAAAAAGAGAGATTAAATGAATTAATTTATTTTTTATTAACTATAGTATGTTAGAATTTATTACGAATAATAAAATAAATAATTTTATTATTGTAGATTAATAAGCTTATGTAATCATGATTGTAATACTTTTCAAATGAAATTAGTAGGTATTGTCTATAATATGTACAATTGAAGGTTCATAATGTTTACAAAGGATATTAATAAGATGAGGGCAATGTACTAAATAAATATATAATGAAATAACTGATAAAAAAGATATTCATATTCACATTTTTATATATTTAACATAAGTAGAATAATATTTGCATCTTTCCATGTTCATGATAAACTAAGTAATGTTAAAATATTTGTAAGGATGGAATTTAAAATTTACACTGTTATATAGAATTACACATAAAATTACATAATAAAATGGCAAAAGTAGATAAATTGAATTTATTAACGAATATTATATAAAAGAATGAATTAGCGTATGCATTTGCGTTTTCTAAGCTTCTCCCTTCACAAATGAACAAACAAATTAAAAATAATCTATAATAAGATTTTGCTGCATAAGATTTATAAGCAGGATAAAGAATAGAAATATGACATGCATGAAAGTATGAATAAGTAATGAAAGATAGAAGATCAAAGGTAAATAGAAATGAGTTAGGAAATGTTGAGGGGTCTGAAAGAACATAAAGAAATGAGTGATAAAATGAATTAGGAATTGTACAAATAAAAGGAAAAAAATTAAATAAAAGAATCCTGATTTGTTTTTGACACAACGATCAAGGCTCATAAACATAATATTTTCAACAACATACGATGAATAAAGGAGCTCATAGATATGTGACCATTTTGTGGCTGTCAATTGTGGGCAACTGCACAAAAGCACAAACATTGGCACAATATTATATCCATCATATTAGTTGTAACGCATATATTGTAAGTAATGATTTGAAAAACTAAGACGTTGATTTGTCTAAAAACCGTCAGGTGACTTGAACCAAAAAAAAAAAGGAAAAGAAATGATATGATTTTATTTCTTTAAGCTGTTTTTTTTCCTTTCATGGAGAAAATAATTAAAAGAATAAAGGCCAACCATAATGACTGCATTAGAGGAAGACAAAGGAAGAAAAAGAGAAAATGAAAATGGCAAAAAAGACAGAGATTGAGGAAGAAAAGGATCTTGATGTTCTACACTCCTAAAATGAGTAAAAAGCCCACAACAAAGGCAAAGGAATGCGAAGAAGTCAGAAGGAAAAGCATCCGCCCACAACCTGGCCATAAAAAGACCAAAATACCCAGCACATATACATAGAAGAAGGAATTGAAAAGGGCAAAACCGTCACTCCACTGTACGGGGAACAGAAAACTGAGTCTATGTGAACAGTGATCCACTCTTTTCCTTTAGTTATGTAATAATAATAATATGTAAAAAAATTTTACCAAGTAATTTGGAATTTTAAGGCAAACCGAAGAAGGAAGGAATAGGTTGAGTAAAAATTGAAATAGAAAAGACATAGCCATAGCACTTTTTGGACAAATCAAACAAACTTTAATATGTGAAAATTGAGGACATGTACATGTCTATGTGTGAATTAGGAAATAATAAAGAAAACACTTAATACACCATAAGCATTTATTTATGGAGGAAAAGACAAAATAAGTAAATGTTACCAACATTCATTAAAAACAACAAGAAACGATTTCTCCTTTTTAAATAGGTAATATGTATCAATAATGTAAGATAGGTTCATATGGATGCAAATAATGATGAACAAAGCACGCATATTAATATTGTTATAGAACATTACTGCATCTATTGTCAACAACATTTATTAAAAATGTATGAATAAGTGGTCTTAATAATACCTCGGCGCTGCAAATTACACTCTAAATGGGAAAGGTGGACCAACCAAGGCCGAAGCTTGAGAAAACAATAGAGCGAAAGGAATGCAAAACAATAGATAATAGGAGACCTGAAAAAATGTATATAAGTCAGTGAGTGGAAAAATGAATAAATAGAAAATAGAGGAGAACAAAAAGGGGGGGGAAAAGACTAAAGAAAAAAAGGGCAAAAGAAAAGGGAAAGAATGAAAACAAATTCATAGAATATGAATATTATAATGTTTTTATATAGCAATCATGGCTCAGGTACTCAATTTTTCATCAACATGTGATGAACAAATAAACTTATATGTTTATAGGCACTGTGTGGCTACCTACTATGGGCAACTGCATAAAGGCACCAAAATTTGATAAGATATTCAATCCATCACACGGGTTATAATGTATGTGCCATAAAAAATAAGCAATCCGAGTAAGGTATTGACTTGTCCAAGAACTACCTGGTGAATGAGGAAAAAGAAAGAGAAAAAAAAACATATAGGAAGAAAAGAAAAAAAAATAGAGAAAAGAAAGATGCTAAATATTACATATATAAAGTAAAAGGAGAATAAAAACTAAATAAAAAATATAGGTCAAAATAATGCAAAAAGAAGAGAAAAGCAAAAAAAAAAAAAAAAAAAGGAAAGGGCATTAAAAAAAAAGAATAATACATTCATAAAAAAAGTATTATATAAATAAATAAATCTCAATTTAAATAGTTGGGGTAAAAATATTAAAAATTAACGATAATATAAAATCATGGAAAAGTGTGATAAGTAAATAAAAGTACATTAAAAAAAGTAGGATTTACTAACAAACAAAGTAATATATATATACACCCACACACACATAAATAACATATGGATTGAATACTGATCCAATAATAAGGAAAAAGACATGGCAAAAGATTTTGAATGAAAGAACGTAGACAAACGTAGGGCAAAATGAAAAGACCACATTCACGATAATCTTTGGACAAATTATATCAAACTCAAGGTGTCAAAGTTATTTATAATCATCATTGTCATGAAAAAATAAGAAAGGGAAGGGAAGAACAATCAGGGGAATAAAAAAAAAGCGAAAAGAAAGGAACAGGGAAAGGGAAAAAAGAATAAACCAAAAAAGGAGAATTAGTTGCAAAAGATATAAAGTAAAGACATCTATCTAAGTATATTGCTATGAAACAAATAAGTAGCAAATAAATATGTCAATACTATTAAGTAATATGTCATTGTTATCAAGTGATGATAAAACAGTAAAAATATAAATCAACAGAAGTAATAAAACAAACAAAGAGCAAATATTGATAACGTTATAAAAAAAATAAAGAGGGAGCATTAATACTGCTCTAACTGTTAGGTATCAACCAACCACATGTGAACACAAATACTCAAAGATAAAAGGATAAGAAAACATAGTAGTAAATGATGAAGGACGAAATAAAACGGTGAGTAATGACGGGTAAAATAACAGCAAGCACAAACAGTCAAAGGCCAGAGGTCAAGAAAGAAACAGTTAATGAGGGATCGTAGAATGAAATAGCAAATGATAGGAGATAAAACAGAGCTGAAGAAGCAAAACAACAGACGCAAGAGAAGAAAACAGAAACGTACATGAAAAATCCGTATACACAGCAGTTTTTATAAATAAAGAATGGAAAAAGCAGCATGACCGGTGAACAAAGGAAAAGGGGAAAAAAATAGACAAAGAAATTGAACAGGAAAAGCTAAAAAAAAATTAAAAATAACCAAAAATTATGAACAAAAAATTCTAATAAATATAGAACAATTAACAAAAATACCATAAAATCCCAAATTTACACCCAAAGCCCACCGAAGATGCGAAGACAACAAAATCACACAGGAAAAGCCAAAAAATTCCCACAAGAACAAAATAACGGAAGAAAATGAAATGGAAAAAAGAAGAAGGAAAAAAACTTCCAACAAAAACAAAGGAACAAAACATAATCAAATGAGAAGAAGAAAGAGAGAAAAAAAGGGGGGGAGCAAAAACGGCGCAGGAGGAAGAAATGAAAGGAGAAAAGAGTAGTAAGGCAACATAGCACAAAATAAACAATGGAACAAAACGGAATCAAATGAGAAGAAGAAGCAGAGGGAAAAAAAAAAAAAAGGGAGCAAAAATGGCGCATGAGGAAGAAATGAAAGGAGAAAAGAGTAGTAAAGCAACATAGCGCAAAATGACGAAAAGGCCCACGGCAAAGGCAAAGGAAATGAAAGGAAAAGAAATGACCAGAAGCTTTCGAGATGGGTAGGAAAAAGAAAAGCTGTTTTCCATCAAAACTGTGCGTTTTGGTTGAAACACTGTTCCTTTGAACAGTATGTATATATAGATATAGATATGGATACACATAGACGTGTGTACACACATGTTTATGACTTGCGTCTTTTAATATGTCAAAGGTAACAAATTTGATGAACGTAGATTCCCTTATCAATATCATCGAGACAATGATTAAATCGGTAATTAAATGATTTCGTTTGATACTGTTTTCAGCTTGTACTTAAACTTTGCCGTACAAATGGCACCTTCCGCTCTTTGTAGCAAAATAGAAGTTGAAACCGCAGTTTACTACTTATTTACTCATTAAAACACGATGAGAAACACTAGTTTACCTCTTTTACTTCTAATAAATCTAATTATGTATGTAAATGGTTATAAATTCCGAGGGTAGAAAAAGGTGTGGTGTAATTCCACATCTGACCCCACGATAAGATGTAGAGCCTTTACAAGTGTTGCTCCGAGACCTAAATTAACAGAAGTTTGGTAGAAAGAATATCTTAACACACTTATGGATGAAGGAGAGCCACAATACAAATTGCCAAAGTCAAAGAAAAGAAAGGTTTCTTCCCCCTTTAGGGTGCATTTTGCTACGGTGGGGAGAATGGTAATAATAATAAAAATGAAAATGGTAATGGTAATTGAATGGAAAAAAAAAATTGATTCATTTATTTAGTTGTAATTTTATGAATACTATAGAATGAAATATGAATATTTTCATATTGATAAAATTACCCTTATATTATATATAACATTAATATTTTATATATCAATATAATTAATATAATATATA